CTCGTTCGCAGGATTCGGGCCAGAGAGGGAGCCCGAGCTGCCGTCGGTGTTTCAGGTGACGCTCCCGGTGCTGAGATGTGTTTGGCGCGCCGGCAGAAGCGGGGACGGGAACGAGCGGTCCCGACCGCGGTGACTCCCGTGCGCTCTCGGTCAGACGGCGGTGGCGCGATCAGTGTGTCTACTAAAGTAGATCTAGGGGACATCATGAATCTCAAAGCCAAAAATGCCTCTTGAGAAATGTGTAAATAAGTTATTTCTGTAAAAGATAGTGAAGTAGTATTTGTGAAGAAAACGAGCTGTGTGCGTACAAAGCAGCTCTCCTTCCCTAGCAGTCAGGACCGAAAAGTCCATTTAAAATCAAACAAAACCAAGTGAGTTTAAACATGAAGTATTACTGGGGGGGAGGGGGCGGGGGACGTTAGGGTGTGTGTCTGTGCTATTTGCCTTCTGTATTAGAGATGCTAAAATTATTCTAGATCGGACTTTTGTCCCCTTTCCTTTCAAAAGTGAGATTATACGATCGTAGCAGAGTCACTTGATTCCATCAGCCTTAAACAAAGTCGTTGTATATTTGCCAGGTGACAGTCGGTGACACCACTGGAAGCATCTCGGTGGTGTTATTAGATCATTCACTTAGCTCTTGGTTGGGGTGGGGACGTTCAAGGAAAATGTGTGCTGGGCTGGTGCTCACTTAAAGCGGGGTTAGTGCAGGAGCTGCCACGCACTCATGGTCCGGGTGATCTGGTCCACCGTGCATCAGCTTGGGCTGGCACAGAATGGGAGGCTGGATGGATAGCAGAGCTGACTTGAACTCTGTTCCAGCCCGGTTCCCTCGTTACCTTCTGTGACACTTTGGCAGCCTGTTTATCGTTCGCTGATCACCTTTGCCTCCTTTCTGAAAAGCTGGGATAACGGGACTTGGAGCAAAAGGCTTTTAAATGATTTAGCCTTGAGTTTCAATTAGCTGTTACTGCTTCCTGTGTAGGCAGAGGGGAATCCGTGCTGGTGTGCTGCTGTGTCCAGCTGCAGCATGGCTTCCAACTTCAGCCCTGTCAATTAACAAGTAGGAACACAGACAAGTAACATTAAATGAGATAACAGTGGAAGCTGTTGGTGTCCTGCTCGGTAGAAGAGCATTGGTTGGGCTCCAAAGAAGAGGCAGGGACATGGGCTCTCTGAGGCTGGGTTGTCAGCTCAGGCTCTGCAGAGCTGCACGGGCTCCTCTTGCCTGTGCTGGGGCTTAGTGTGGGTCTGGGGAGGCCTAGGGAGCCTTGGCATGGCAGAACTGCCTGAGGGGCAGGCTCAGTCTGGCCCAGCGCTGCCCCCCTGCTCTGTGGCCCTTCTAAGAGATAGTTGGGAGAGTGGGTTCGGTGACAGCTGCTATCAACAGTTTCATATTATATTGTGGTGTAAATTTGTCAGCTTACGGGAAGGTGGCTGCCAACAAGGATAATAGTTGGGAAAGCATTGGGCAACTGCAAACCGCAATGTTAGAGCCTGAAGAATGACTGAAATGAGTGATTCCAGCATGACTGTTGGAGTTGATGCCTCACTTTCTCTGTGGTTTGTTTGGCAGAGCTCTGAAAAAAGGCATATTCTGTGTTATTTAAAATCTGCTTTGCTATAGGTAATATATGGGCTATTTGGTATGAGATGAGAAATTGGCTCAGGAGAAAAAAAATTATAAAATCTAAACCTAATCATTGTTTGGTTTACAGGATTTCTCCTATGCAGCATGGGATTATCCAGAGGGTTCTTACTTAATTTGTATGGTCGCTGAGAGTCTTAGGTTGTCAAATTATTTATTTAGGTGATGTGCAATGTCTGGGCAACAAAGAGTTCCCTTTATAGGAAAGCAGAAATTAAGATAACTGTTCTCAATTTATTTGCCCCAAAATTGTATGTGAATTTTCACAAATGCTGGTTTCTGCTGCATTCCACTAATGTGTTTAGTTTTGCTATGGATATATTAAAGATGTGTTGAAATTGCTATTAAAACAAGTGCTGCTGTTTTGAAACTCACACTCCATTCATCAGCTTTGTTTTAACAGAAATCTGGTAAATGAAGGTGTTGTTCATGATGTGTTTCTATTTGATGGATTTTCTCCCTCCTGCCCCCTTCAATATTCACATCTTAAAATTTCAGATCACTTTTCAAAGTTTAGTTTTTCTTAGGCAGGACGTTTTACAGACTGGGAAGTAAAAGTATGTAACTTAGCTGCCTTTGCAAGTTCATGTAAGGCCAGAACTTGCTCTGTTACTCTAATGCTATGAGAACAGAACTGGGCACAAAATATCTACGTGGAACTTGAATCTCTTGCTTCCTCTTCTGATGCTTTTAATTACAAAACCATGAAAGCTTATTCTGAAGATCTGCATCAAATTAGTTAACCCTTAATATGCACGCAATTCTTTAGGAAAAATGTTTTGCATTCAGGATCACTTTTCTGTGAATCACGGTACATATAACTTTTGACCTTGTCTGGAGAAAAAAAAAAGGGTTTGTAAATGTAAAATATAATATTGGAAGCACAAGCATTGAGGGGTATTTTTCTGTTGGGTTTTTGCAGGTAAACGACCTCTGCTGGCACGTACGCTGCCTCTCGTGCAGCGTTTGCAGAACGTCCCTGGGAAGGCACACCAGCTGCTACATCAAAGATAAAGATATCTTCTGCAAACTGGATTATTTCAGGTATATAATTCAGGAACATAATTTATCAGATAACTTGTTACACTTGCTTGTTACTCTTCACTTAAGCCACAACTGAAATGCACTTGAGGCTCTTTCTTTTTTATTTGCTAGGTTTATTTTCATTGGTTTAAACTCTGACTTTTCTTGTGGAGGGACTTGGGGAGCCTCAAGTCTGTGTGATGTAACAGCCTGCTAAGTCTCCCCTCTGCCCCTCCACTCTTGTGCACAGCTGCTGCATTTGTACCATCACTTCAGTATGCACGGGGAAAAAAAGTCAGAGTCCCTGCCACAGTACGAGTGTATCATATGTGCAGAGAATCATCCTTGGGTAATGCTGGCTGAGAATGCGAAGTAGAGTTGAGATGATCTGTTCGGAGAAGTGCTTCTCTGATATGGGACTTAAGGCATCACATGGAGCTGCAAAATCAAGCCTGGATAAATCCTGCGATCTTTAAAAGAATCTTTCAGCAGTTATACCTTTCTGTGATCAATTTGCTTTAGAATGTGAAGCATTAAGGGCTAATTGTGTAAGGAAGAATATTATTTACTTGAGTTGGCAATGTAAGTACTCAGGATGCAAAGTCTTTGATATATAAAGTAGCAAAAATTGTTGCTGTTAATTTTGATGTGATTGCTAGTACTTCACGAGTTTGATTGCAAGACCAAACTATTTATGGGATTCTCACCTGTGCCATGAATAGATTACATCCAGCTAGTCAGGTTTGACGCTGAAAGAGAGGAGGGGGGCAAACTGAATGCTGTGAGCTTCTGGAAACACTAAGTTTTGTGGGACTTGAAAAAAGAACTTGAATCTGCAAAGATTTTCAAGACAAATTCTTATCTAAATAATCAGCATATCTGGGTGGCTAGTTTCCTCTTCAAAGAGAAATATTCTTCTCTAATAATGTAAATACTTGCAGATATTTGAATTTATTTAGAAATCATAATGTGATGTTAATTGAGGAAATAACTATGAAAATACAGGTTTTCTCCCTTCTGCTGAAGGTGCTGAATGATTAGTGAAGGATGATGTAGCTAAATATAATAATTCAGACTACCCCTAGAGTGGTGTAAATACATTTGAATAACTGGGAGAATTTTGAACACAGTCAGCTGTTTCACTCTCTCGGCAATTTTTAAGAGTAATTATCTTTGTAAAAAGGAAAGATGAAGAGCCGTGACTTCATGTAGCAGTTAAAATGCTTCAGTTTTGCTTTTTGCCTTATGAAAATACTAACCTCTGTATTTCATTAGTGGTCTTGTCTTAAGCAGTCCCTGTGCTTAGCTGGGGTCTCGCTGTGCTGCCACACCACGGTCACCTCTACCCCTGCCCGAGCCCGGCTTTGCTCGGGGCGGTCTCGTCCGGCTTCACCCCTGGTTGCCGTTCTCGTTGCAGGCGCTACGGCACCCGTTGCTCCCGCTGCGGGAGGCACATCCACTCCACCGACTGGGTGCGGCGGGCCAAAGGAAACGTGTACCACCTGGCGTGCTTTGCATGCTTCTCCTGCAAAAGGCAGCTTTCAACCGGAGAGGAGTTTGCTTTGGTTGAAGAGAAAGTCCTTTGTAGAGTACATTACGACTGCATGTTGGACAATCTGAAAAGAGAAGTTGAAAATGGTAACATAGTGCTTTTGTTAAGAACTATGTTTGTGGTTCAGTTTTAATGAAATTGTTGGGGTTTACTTCATCTTCCTTATTTAGGGGTAATTGCCTCGCTTTAGTAAGACTGGAAGCACAGGTTCTTGAGTTAAAATAATGTGCAAATTATTTCATGTTCTAATTTTTTTTTGAGTTTGTATAACTTGTTTTCTGTCCTAAGGAAAAGAAAGCAGCAGCATATCTTGTTGATAAAATATCACGCTAGATTTATTTCTTCTCTTACTTGAAAGGGAGTCATTTGGGGTATAATCTGTAATGATGCCAGACCAATTTAACTTTGAATAGAGTATGGCTTTTTGAAGTTGAAATTCAGCTGACCAAGTGCTGTTGGTTATTGTTGGAGAACAGTCTGACTTATGAATAACATCACTGTGAATGTGTAGTGGCAGTATTGTTTTCTTTTTAATGTTTCAGGTAATGGGATTAGTGTGGAAGGAGCATTACTAACAGAACAAGATGTTAATCATCCAAAACCAGCAAAAAGAGCTCGGACCAGCTTCACAGCAGACCAACTCCAGGTAGAGGCAGTGCTAAAAACTTGTGTAGCTCAGGTTTATGCAGGACGTAGGTGCTGAACCAATAGGAAGTTGGATGCATAGGGGAAGAAACTTTAAAGCTTGAATGCTTTAAACTATTTCATAAACTATCAAGACACAGCATGTTTCTGGAATTGTTTGTTAGCTTCAGCAGTTTAATATGAAATAGTACTCTGCAAGCTTTTTATTTCCCTGGGGGCAGACAGTAATTCTGCAGAGTGGAAACAAAAAGGTTGTTCTATTTAGATTGCTCAATGAAACCTATTTAATCAGCAATTTACATCACTAAACATAATAAAGACAAAATATTTTTAGAATTACGTAATGTGAAAAGTTGTACTGAAGATGGGTACTGTATGTGACTTCAAAACATTAATAGGATGAAAGTTGCAATTTTGTTGTAATGACTGCATCTGCTCTGCTTTCAAGGCTTCTTGTCTTGTTGCTGCCTTGTCAAGAGTTAGCTCTGGACTATCTCAAGAGGAATTATTTTGCCCTCTGGATCACACTTCACTTAAATTAGCTTTCTAGGGAAAAACATCAGGACTAGGGCCAGCTTACAATGAAGGGGGTGATACTGAGACCAGATTTAGGGATTTTAACCTGCATGAGAAGGAAGCTGTGGCTTTCTGCCTAATCCTAGCTATACATCCCTGCTTTCACTTTATATCAGGTTTTTGAATTTCTGTTGACAATGTGAGTTCTGTTTTGTTGTCCTGTCCTCTTCTTTTTTGTGGTGAAAACAGTTGAGAAGAAACTAATGCTGAGGAGTAATAACGTGGGGTGTTAAAGCAGTGCTGTATAATGGGACATGGGGCTGTTCAAAGTTTGGTTTTCTATTTCAGTAGTGACTAGAGATGGAAGGTAGTGGTAACACAAAAGAATCATTTTAGTAATAATCCAACAGGTGCACAGGGAAGGCTTAGACATTGACCTTGAACTTCTGCAAAAGGGGACTTTCTTTTCTGGCGGTATCTGAAAGGGAGATAGGCCCAGCCATTGGGGCAGGAACTGTATTCAGGGCTTCTTCCCAGCTGCTGTCATTTAGGTGGATTTTAACATACTTCAGCAGGTGTTTGAAATCTTAGGGCTCCTTCTTGTTTAATGACACTTTCTATCTGCTTGTTGCACCTCTGTGCCTATTTTTGAGGCTGGTATAAGTTTGAATAAGAGAAGCATCATAGGGATAAGTGACTGTCAGAGTGGCAGCATGTTACTGCACACCTCACCAAGTACTTGTACAAAAGGATGTCCATGCATTTTGATGTTTATGTTCTATAGCACATTCCACTACCTAAAGGGGCTCCAAGAGAGCTGGAGAGGCCCTTTGGACAAGGGCATGGAATGACAGGACAAGGGGCTTCCCACTGCCAGAGGGCAGAGTTAGATGGGGTATTGGGAAGGAATTCTTCCCTGTGTGAGGGTGGTGAGGCCCTGGCACAGGTTGCCCAGAGCAGCTGTGGCTGCCCCATCCCTGGAAGTATCCAAGGCCAGGTTGGATGGGGCTTGGAACAATCAGGTCTAGTGGAAGACATCCCTGCTCATGGCACAGGTTGGAACTGGATAGTGCCTCCCAGCCTAAGCCATTCTGTGATTCTGTGAAACAGCAGAAAAGTAAATAGTTTCTGAATGTGGAGAGCAGAAATCTGAATCTTCAAAGATGAAGCCAGGCAAAATTTGCAGGGTCAAATCAAGGGTCAAAAATCCAAAAATGAGAAACTAATGCTCTTGAAATTGCTGAAGATATCCTGCAGAAATCCATGAAGCTTTACTTCCATAAACTGGGCAAATCCTTAAAGCCTCTGAAAATGTTCAGGATGCAGGCCAAGTTGACATCTACTTACTCAAAAAAGTGTAATTCATATCCTAATGACAAGTGCTGACTTCAGTTTTCTGCAAAAAGATGAGCGGAACCAAATCATTTCAAAGGGAAGATCAGCCAAGGTGGAGTCCCCTCTGTTCCTTGGGTTGGTTAAAGGCAAAGAAAGCACAAAGTGCTTCCCAGCTCCTGCATCCTCCGCAAAGATAAAAAGAAAGTCAAGTTGCTCCATCTAATACAAGGTGCAGATACTGATTAACAAGTTCAGGGCGGTGGATCATGGCTCGTCCAGTCCTTATGCTGTGATCTGCTGCTATAGGCTTTTCTTTATTGAGTGTATTTTAATCACTTTGCAGTGAATTTTCTCATATAGTTCTTTTAATGTATTCTTACAGAGCACCTCCTTCAAGCAGAATCTGTTTTTCTCATTTCTGGTGAATGTCACAGCTCAGTTAAGCATAGTAAGAGTTTGTATTTTGGCTTTGGGGGATTTTTTTCCCCCTTAACGTATTGGGGGCTGTCTGGAGAGACCTAGTGATTACAACAGTTTCCTGAAGACAGACAAGGAGTAGGACCATGGTCTGAGAGGAATCTAATGCTGCTTTCAACACAAATGATCCTGCAATCTCTTACCTTGCCTTTTCAGGTTATGCAAGCACAGTTTGCTCAGGACAACAATCCAGATGCACAAACGCTTCAGAAACTGGCAGAAAGAACAGGCTTGAGCAGGCGTGTTATACAGGTAACAGTGTGAAGTTACTTGATTAACAAAGTCTGGTACTTATCCATTGGAAATGCTTAATGACAGTTTTCTCCATGTAGTTATTCTGGCACGGAAAAAGATCTAATCTGGCAATTATAACATCAGACAACATCCTTAATCAGGAATAGGTCTAGAACAAGCATGGTAATGTGGAAAACTCACTGTATTCCTCTTGTGCTTTGTGTGGAGTATTAACAGTCTTCTGTGAAGAAACTTCTCAGCTTAAATGGTATAGAAATTGGCACTAAGTTATTCCAAATAGAAATTTCTGACTGTAATAGTCTGTTCTTAAGACCTACACTCTTTTTGGAAATGTCTTGTGGTATGACACGTTAGGAGCAAGTGAATATCTAGTCATCTGTTCTAGAGAGCAGAGTTAAAATATATACCCATGCCATCCAAAACTGAAACACAGACTTGGAATCTTTGCTTGAAGATGTCTCTCAGCAAACATTATATGGATGCTTTTTTATACATAAATATGATTTTTAATAGATATTATATATATATGTTAATATAAATACAAATAAGTTTGGAGTTCCCTTGGCTCATTCTAGCCTGGAAGACTGACAGTGTGTTTCTATAGAAAGGAGATATCTGGCAGGTTGTTCTTGTGCTAACGTTGAATGCAATCTGTCAACATGATGTACCTTTCCCTGCTTTTCAGGTGTGGTTTCAAAATTGCAGAGCACGCCATAAGAAACATGTTAGTCCTAATCATTCATCTACTGCTCCTGTCACTGCAGTTCAGCCCTCCAGGCTGTCTTCACCCATGTTAGAAGAAATGGCATACTCTGCATACGTACCCCAGGATGGGACTATGCTGACTGCTCTGCACAGCTACATGGATGGTAGGTTTTAACAGCTTTGCTGGTTTTCTCCTAGTAAAATCATTATCAGCTGCAGCAAGAATGGTCTACCAAGTACTGATTAAAGAAACCTAATGGATTTTTAATTTTTAGTATTCTCTATAGAATACAGCAATACCGTACTTGCTATTTACACCTTATTGAGAAAGCAGTCGCTCTTCACTGTAAGAGCATGGCTGAAGATCTGGTATGAAAACCACTGCTTGTGCTTCCTCCAGGCTATTAAAACTATAATGAGAAATTAAACACTTATTTAAACATCCACACCATGTATTTTAATAATACGTAATTTTAATGAAAACTGTTTACCACTTGCTCTCTGGCTCTTACCCCACGGACTGTAGAGATGCCCCAACCAGCAACTTCTCTGAGAGCTTCACCTTCCCTCACAGTAACACACAATGCGGGGGGGAGAGCCTGGTGGTCAAAAGTGCTTTAGTCACTGTGTCTTAAGACCCAGCAAGTAAACAGCTTTGGCCCCCATCTGTGGTTAGGAGGGACTGTGAAGATTTTGGAAGAATCAGTCTGAGCTGCATGTGTGGCCTGAGCTGTTTTTCTCCAAAGCAGTGGTGTAAGGTGGGCTGTGGGTGGAGGAATGAGGATGCTGGGCTAGGGGAAACAGAGCATGCAACAGGGTTGGGACAGTGAGCTGTCACTCCCCAGTGGGATTTATTAGCTTATAATCTTTTTCTACTCTGATGAAATTGACTGGTAATGTTTGTTTTTGTAGCTCATTCACCTACAGCTCTTGGACTCCAGCCTTTGCTACCCCATTCAATGACACAACTGCCACTAAGTCACACCTAATTCCTTTCTGTCAGGGATATAAGCTATTAAAGATGTAACCTTGAGTCATAGTGTATTGAAAATATCATTGGAAAGACATTAATGTTAACTTTTTATTTAACACTTAAAGCATTTTCAAGATAACTTTTGCTGCCCAGGTATGTAAGTATATTTAGCCTGCAAGACACTTTTATGGATTCTGCATAAATAACTATTACATTGTTTACAAGCCTTATTAAACACCTTTTTGTATTGTCTGGAAGTAGTCCACTCTAGTTATGTGTGTGTTAATTTATTTGTCATCAAAAGAGCACTTTGCCTAAAAGAAAGGACTGACAATTGTGCAAAATGTTTACAATTCTTTGTGAAATTGTAGTTTATCATTAGTTTGTATCTGTAAGTTATTGCTAAAAGTATTACCTGTATTTGAGTTGTATACAGCCTATATGTTAAAGCTTATTTCTGTGAGTTTACAAAAATAAATTTTGGTTGCAAATATTTTCAAAAAGAACTGAATAAAGTTTCTGCTGTAGCATGCCAAGCAAAAATGTTGCTGTGTTTATGGCTAAACTGTGATCATTTGTCAAGTGTTTAATTTGAATCTTCAATTTCAAGAGAAGGTCCCTGTTATACTGAGGAACATTACACCAAGGTCCTTCAGGAGAGTTCATATATATTCCAATTGATAGCAGAAATGCTTTAATGGTCTTGAAACACCCCAAATAGGTGGTACACAAGTGAGTATATGCAAAGCAGTGCTGCTGCTGAGGGTGTACAGTTGTGGGGAAAAGGAAATGGGAGATGAATAGGACAGATTTTAAACTGTGACTTAAGTTGGCAAGTGGAGAACCTGAAGTCACATCTGCTTTAAATTTTTAATCTTTCCTACTTTAGCTTCTGTTCAGTGGTTTCATCTTGTGCTTTTGTTAAGTAGGATGATAAATAAGATGCAATACTTAAACAGAGTCTGCTTTTTAAAAGTAAAACCTAGTTCAGCTTTTTAACTCACCTGCATATGAAGAGAGACTGGAATTCAGTCAAATGCACCACAGTCTACTGTGTTTAAAGCTGCTAATGTGCTAAGACTTTGTTGCAGAACATGTTTTGATTCACTTATCTGATGCACAGAGGCTACCATAAATTCAACTGATTTTGTCTTCACAGACTAGTTTCCTTCTAGGATTTAAGACAGGTAGATCCCATTTGCACATTTAAACTTTATTTGCATCAGAAGGAAATCATACTTTTGAAGCTGTGTATATGTGTCCATATCCCTTTCTCTCCCAGCTATATATTAGTGTCTACTCTGAAATTCCTTAACTGTGCTGGTCAAACCATTTCACTGTGAAAACATAGTGCTTTCTGATGATGACTTTTGAGAGCATAACTTTAATGGCAAACTCTGAATTATTCAAATTCATTAAATTAAAATCCTAACACTGTTTCAAGTGCTACTCACGGATGTCTGAGCTAATCGAAGTAGCAGAAACAATCTCCTTGCACTGGCACAGTGTTTTGTCAAGGCTCATATTATCCTGCCTTTCCTCCTCTCCCTTCTCCAACCACCCCTTAAAACACTCAAGATGGGCTGTGGTGGAGCTTGACTGACTGTACATTTTATTCTAGCATATGTAACATTTTATTCTAGAGTATGTAACTTCTTAGCGAGAAACTCCAGGTGGAATACTGAATTCAGGATGTCGTTTCCAGTACCTAAGCTAGCTCCATAGATCACCATGCTACAAAACTGCATGCACAGCAGTAGATAAACGGGTTTGTGCTCATTTGTTGTGTCTGATAGGCAAGTAGGACAACCTTACTGCTGAAGTTTTACCAGTTAAATGCTAAATAATGCTAATTTAGATGTTAACATAACTTGGTAATTTAAAATGCAACTTAGCTTGCATTGAGTTCCTTTAAGGAAAAGTAATTATTCACTTTAATTTGAAGAACCGAGTAGCTTCAGGTTGCCTGAAACAAAAGTAAGTCTAAGCTTATTTGTGAAACACGTCTTTCTGTTCAGTTTCAAAGTCAGAACAGGATTAAAGTACATGGGAGCAATTTTCCTATTTCCCTATGAAAGTAGGAAGCAGGATAATTTGTCTTTTGCTACTGTCGAGTGCTTGTTCAGCTATTTATAAGAGTGGCTGGGAAAATGAAGAGCTGAAAATAGGAAGCTCTAGCAGAGAATCTGGGTGTTGTGTCTCCCTTTGCCACTGCCAGAGCCGTCTGCAGCTGGTGTTGGGCTGACAGTCTGTGGAAAACTGGGGACAGTTTTAGTCAGCTGTGTTCAACTGAGGCTGCTGCTGTAGCCTGACTTCGAATGCTTGTTTGACAAGTCTGAATGTTTGTCTTTCTCTCCTGGTTGTGCGCTGGCATTTGTGACTCTGCTGCTGAGTTCTTCTGAGCCTGGAGCCATCCTCTCTGCCTTCTGCTGTGTAAAAGAGTAACTTGGATAATGATAGGATGAGGAAATTCACGGGCTCTCTTTGCAGAAAGGGAATGCTTCAAAAACATCATAATGATATATCTGTCTGTGTGTGTGTGTGTGTGTGCACAGGTGGGGGTTTTTTCTGTTTTCATTTGGTTTGTGCTTAAAGGTGTACTTACTTCATATGTTACTTATTGCTGTGAAGTCCTTAAGTTAAAAGAACAATGAAGTAAGCATTTCTCTTTTGCTTGAAACAGCTGACCAGGTGAAGTGTGATGTAAGACATTTGAGATTCAGTATTTATTCATTACCAGGATTAGCAGCACAGGTGGAGCAACTAAAGTCAAATGTTTGGCTCCCAGTCCATTGTTTGCCTAACAGTGCTCATCTTTTCTCTTCTACTCCTGCTAATTTCTTTTTCCCCCACACACAACTAAGCCCACAGCAATTCAACAGTACTTTTGGGAAAACACCTCACAACTTCCTTTTCTGCCTGCAAATTGCACATTCCTCTGTTTACACAGGGCTCCTTGGACTTCTTCCCCACTCCTCTCATGAAGAGCTTTTCCCTGTTGGGCACACCTGTGACAATGCATCATCTCTCTTTCAAATACTGCTGTCACATGGGTTGGTTTGTTTGTTTGGGTTGGTTTGGATTTTTTTAAAATCCCTGCCACACCTCAACAGGAACTAATCCCCTCCCCTATATAAGAATGATATAAGACCTGCCATCACAAACTGCACCAATATTATTTCCCAAGTTGATCTCATGGGAGAAAGATGTCTCCTGCTCCAAGCCTCCTGAAAACAGAGGTTATTACTGAAATATGAGAAACTTGTTACAGTACACCAGTATATAAAAAAGTTAACATATTTTCTTATTTTAAAATGAAGCCATTGCATTTGAAAGATAGCTACTCCATTAAAAAAAAATCAGTCAAGGAAGCATTTTATTTTTGTTTAATGTAAGCTAACAGGTCATCCAAGAAAGTTAATCATAAAAATATCATTTAAATAGGACACAAACTGTAATATGCTGAATGCAGGAATCACTGGAAGCTGCCTTTTTCACCATTTTCAGAAATAATCAGCAGAAATACTGGCATTCCTGAAATATGGATACAGGCATTTAGCCAAAATATGATTTTAAGACAAAAAACCTGTGTATCTAATGTTATGCATAGATAAATCCATAAAAATGTTACCTTTCAACAGGCACTTTGATGTCTCTGCAGGAATTTTTCCAGGCATCTAGGTGGTGGGCTGGGATGCTCAGACACAATCCACAGAAGTGTTCAAACATGCCAGTGCAGGTTTCTTGTAATGACATCAGTTCAGAAGAGCTGCCACTGCTACAAGAGAGCCCCTAATATTAAACCCACAAAGAGTTTTAACAACTTTTTCAAGCTCCAGGGACTCAGAACCACTACAGCTGGGTGTTATACAAAGATTTGTTAAACTCTTTTGGACCATTGTTAGTGTTCTCACAAAACAACTTGTGAGCTTAAAGCTATGATAATGCTGTTCCAGTACTCTGTATTTCTGTAAGAAATTGGAACTCTGTAAACTAAAAAAAAAAAAGTAAAAAAAAGTAAAAAACCCCAAACTACAAAACTCTTTTATTATTATCATTTGGAGCAAATTAAGCATGGACCTTTCTCCTGGGATGACTTTGATTCTTTTCCAAACTTAGGCTCTTTAAAGTACGTTACCTGCAGAGCCTAGCCAAATCAACAGAAATGAAAACCTAGGACCTAATGAAATTAAAGTTGATTCAAGACAGGAAACTGAGTTGGTCAGATGTGTTAAAAATGATGGCAACCAGAAACTACATTAAGAAGCTCTGTATAAAATAATCCCTTCCTTTCCTTCTCCAAGGCATCTGTATACGTGTGGCTTTGCAAAGGAGCATGCTGGTTCTTTGCAGAAAATGCACCAAAAGCAATGTTCATCTGCAAAGTCAAACCACGAAGATGTGCACAGGTGGTACTCATCAGCCACTGGCTGAGACAAAAGCAGAAACATTTTCATCCTGGGTCTCTTTGATTGTAACAGGTCAGGTACATTATCATTTCCTTCTTCAGCAGAAATGTCAGTCAGATCACACCACTGCTGCTCTAGCCCGGAGTAGTTGCAGCACAACGACAACTCATGGTGCCAGAGCAGAGTGGAGAGGCCTTTCCTCCCCTCTCCCTGTGCAGCCAACACCCGTGCCAGCAAGGGCACCTCCCTGAGCAATGTGTGCATAAACCTATCAACTTCAGATGAGTTGCCATGCTGCATCCCACCGAGTGCTGACACAGGTCACAGGTACATAGCCCAGGGCTGCAGGGGAGGCTTATGTCACTGTAGGACAGACCCCTTGGCTAGCCAAACAGAACAACCCATACAGAAGCAGGATCTCTAGAAAAGACTGGAGGTCAGACTGCTGGTACATAAAAAAACTCCGGGTAGGTTTCGAATCGTCTGGATGTGGATTAAAGTTTCTATGGCATGCAGCCAAGATTAGATTTAAATGTAATATGAATGGAAAGAAAACCATGTGAGATAAAAAACACATCAGTCTGAAAACAAATTTAAGAGAAGGAAGGCAAGAAAGCAATTTTGTTAGCGAGCCTTACATTTTCTGAAGGAGGACAATGTAACTAATAGCTGCAGTCAGTTCCAACAGACCATGTCTGTTAACAGGAGATACTGATGGAGTTTTAAAAATAAAAATATCCAAATTTTAATTAAAATAATGACATACATATGAGACACATAGTAAAGGTCCTCTATGCTCCAAAATCCCCATACAATAACTTTTATAATACAAGTGTATCTTCAGAGTTTAGGTACCCTGTGTTGGATTCTGCAGGGCTATACATGATCAGTTGAACTCAAACAATGTGCTTTAAAACACACAGTACTTTACTGTTATTGTTGCTTTCTGCCATGGTCAGAACCAAGTTTTACAGCGATGCTTTACACAGTGAAAAGCATGCAGGTTTTGTTTGCTGAATTTGCATCTGATCAAATGTTAAAAAACAACAACAATGAAAAGAAACAAAAGTAAATCTGCTCTCATGAAGATTTACTGTAGAACAGCAGTGACTTTTATCAAGAGATGAAGCAACTCTAGTGTACTAGCCTGTACCTCTTCCCACATGGCATGGCCTCAGTCAGCCAAGCTGCTAACCTGCGCTCAGGGAACACCAGCGTCCCTCTGAAGATCATTTTTGCAGTTCACCTTTCAGTGTTTAGTTTGGACTGAAATGGTCTGCATCTAAACCTTCCAGGCTGAGCCATTCTTCTCTTTGCCTTGTTGCAACTTTCCTTCTGCAGCAGCTGCCAAGCCACCCCTCGAGACAGAGCTGGGCTGAACAAGTACCGCTGTTCACTGACCGAGGGTGTGGCTGACTGGACTACAAATTCACCAGCTTCCCCACCAACACTGACAACATTTAACCCTCTCTAATAAATAGTATCCTATGGCATAAGCCTCATACGTGCTCATTTTCCCTTAAATGATATATGCTGCAACTATAAATTCAAAACGTCTGTGAATGCACTTATTCACTATTCAGTCACTGAATTCCAAACACACAGCCATACTTCCAGCTTGCTTTGCTAATTCAAAAACTTTCTCTCAAGGTTTCATTGCAGTAATTGCTGAATGAGAAAAGCAACTTCAAACAAGGCTGCCCACATATGGAATAACTTCCAAGGCATACTTTAACCTCGAGTCCAAATTTTCCCTTTGTCCTCACTCCAAATAATTGCTCCAGTTCTATCTCTGATGAAATCCACCCCCATCTCTGAAAAGCTTTTGCACAGAGTTTGGTGGTTTTGTTTTTTTCTCCCTGTCTGCCAGAGAAATGTATGTGATGGGCCCCCGGCCAGATGGGGACTCACCTGCCATAGCTCAACTGTGAATTCAGCACCTGCAGCAGCTCTGCCTGTGATGTTCTGCCAACCCACTTTGTCCAATAAAGGTTTTCTTGACCTCACACAAAGGCAGGAGGAAAATCTGACTTTTAGTGAGTCTTGTAAACTCCAAAAGAGATTTATACCGAGTTCCATGGTATCATTTTGGCCAATTTAAAATACACCTTGTCTTGTATAAGATCTCAATTCAGGTTTAGA